CCAGAATTCCTCAGCCAGCTTTGCTGGCTGAGGAATTCTGGGAGTTGAAGTCCACAAGTCTTAAAGTGGCCAAGGTTGGACACCCCTGTTCTAGATTGTTTCCACTCTACTTTTTCACCAAGAGCCAAGTGAAAGTGTTGGAATCTTGGCTAGAGAAATCCAAGTTCAACTTTGCCGTCAGCCACAGAAATTGATTGGGTTGACTTGGGGCCAGGTGCTGTTCCTCAGCCCAACCTACCTCACCAGGTGGTTATTGTGGGGTGGAAATGGGTGGGGGTGATGATGCAGGAGGGGTTTCTATGAGTGAGTGTTTCCTTGAGCTTCTGAAGGGAAGGCAGGATATAAATCCAACGTCTTCCTTCCGTCATTTCAGTTTTCACCTAGCTAAAGTACTTCCGTTCATTTGCATCACAGTGTGATACAGGTTGTTCCCCTGATAATGAAGAAAAACATGCATGCATCAATCAATCCATAATATACCGTTAATAAAATGAAAAAAAAAATGAAGATTTGCAGGCCGTTCTGTATTTAATCTGCCTTGCAAATTAATAAACATGCTTAAAATCTCACATTCCTTCAGAATTTAGTGAGCAGATTTATTTCAGATTTCAAGTGGCATTGGAAAGGCCAAGATATACAGAATGAAACTGTAAAAAGTATACTGTGGTTTCTTCTTTTTTTAATCGATTGCAAAGGTTAATAATATGCCTTGGCGATTATATGAATACCTCTGTGCTCTAAATACCCTTGAGACATAAAAGGTTAATCAGGGTTGTTTTTTCTAGCCGACATTAATTATAGCATCATTATCTATGAATATATTTCAGAGGTAATGCAGGATTTTAATCAAAAGTCATAGTACAGCAAGTTAATAAAAATGTTTAAAATCTTTCTGCCACTGTTTTTTGTTAAACTGTTGGACACTCTCTGGATTGTGAAAACGATTCCATGTTATGCCTATATAATACGTCTTAATCGTTTTCATTCCTGACACACAATTTGCCATTTGCCTCCCCACATGCCCTTCCTGCAGTCTGACAGATGGGGTCAAATATTCCCCACTAAACTTGGAAGTCATGGGCGCGATGGCATGTTTCAGCGGCCGTAAATGAATTATTTTTCACTCACACTTCAATCACATCAATTCTTATGCATATTGAATACTTAAAGTTGGGGTGCGATGCTCTTTTATTTAGATATACATCTTACGTTGCCTTTTTATGAGGTTTCAGTGGTGTTGCAAAAATAAATTCATGAAGATTAACAGAGTTGGAAGGGACCTTGTAGGTCATCTAGTCCAACCCCCTGCCCAAGCAGGAGACCCTACACCATTTCTGACAGAGGGCAGTCCAGTCTCTTCTTGAAAGCTTCCAGTGATGAAGCTCCCACAACTTCTGTTCCACTTGTTGATTGTTCTCACTGACAGAAAGTTTCTCCTTATTTCCAGGTTGAATCTCTCCTGGAGCAGTTTCCATCCATTCTTCCTTGTATGGCCTTCGGGTGCTTTGGAAAATAGCTTGACCCCTTCCTCCTCTCTGAGGCAGCCCCTCAAATATTGGAAGACTGCTATCCTGTCTCCCTTGGTCCTTCTCTTCCCTAGACCAGCCAAGCCCAGTTCCTGCAACCATTCTTCATATGTTTTAGCCTCCAGCCCCCTCATCATCCTGCTTGCTCTTCTCTGCACTTTTTCTAGAGTTAGGTGGATGAACGAGGCTCTTAATCTTGGGTGGGTCTGCAGCCTCGGGAGGTGGGGGGAGCAGGAGCAGCCCTCCCATCAACTGAACAGACTGGCAGGCCGAAGGGGGTCCTGGCATTCTCATTGTCAGGCAAAGCAGGCCAGGGAGGGGGTGCCCAGGCAGGGGTAGGAGGGGTAGCCGGTGGAAACGCCGCAGGGCAACCCCTGGCCAGCCACCTGCTCCTCACCGAAGTGGTTGATGCCTTCCGATAAATCACTGCCGTAAGATGAAAGTCAAAATATATAACAGAGCACAGAAGAAAACACATTCCAGCCCCCTTGTCACATTACACAATTCCTTTGATATAGCTGTTCAATAATTGCAAGAAACTACGTTGTTTCTAGAAGAAGAAAAAGCCCACCCCTCTGCCTCTGCTGTTCTTAGCGTAGTTTAACATATAACATATTATCTGAAGGTCCATATATATTTGAACAGGAAGTCTCAATATGAGGGATGTCTGTTTCGAGTCTTAAATAATAAAGTTGTGCTGCCTCAGACCGCGTCTTTTTATCTTCTGCTTCTTCTACAGGCAGCACAATAAACTGCGGAATTTAGTGAGGGATCCCCGTCACGACTGCATTGTGTTTTTTAATGAATTCCAGATGCTTTCTTATTTGCCACGAGAGCGGGGAGAATCACTGGAGAAATGGCAGACCAGGTACGTGATTCACACAACGCGGCCCTGAACGGTGCAACTTTGGGTCAGCGGTGACGCCTTCATGGTCCTCATCAGGCCTGGCCTGGCCTGGGGGTAG